TCCTGTAGCAGCTGCCCACCCAAGCCCTGTCTGCTGGGCTGAGGGTGTGGGTGGGGCCCTACCGCTAGCAAACACCTCAACCCCTTCCTCTTGCTCCCAGGCATTAGCTCACCCAGGAGCAGGGGTGGCAGAGTGAAGGGGCTGCAGCCGGCCAGAGACCAGGGGGACGAGCTCAGCTTCCTACCCCCAGCAGAGGGCTGAGTAGCCTGGGTCACTGCGTGGGCTCTTGGGAAGTGTTGAGAGGCAGATGCTGCATTTCAGCAGCTACTGGGGGCATCTGACATTGGTCCCCCGCCCATCCCACGGTGGGGCTGGTTTGTGCTACAGGAAGGCCCTAGCAGGGAGCGTGCCGGCAAGAGGGGCTTAGAGACCTATGGTGTATGTGAAAAGTCATGTGTCTTGTGGGTGAAGCCAAGTCGCGAGCGTGTGTGTCTGGCCTTGCTCACAAGCAGGGCCCACGGCTGCATGTAGGGCCTGGAGTCCTCGTTGGGGTGATTCAAAGTCTCAGTGGGGGCTGTGACCAGCACTTTTGCTCTGTCCCATGAGAGGCCGGCAAGAGGGGCTTAGAGACCTATGGTGTATGTGAAAAGTCATGTGTCTTGTGGGTGAAGCCAAGTCGCGAGCGTGTGTGTCTGGCCTTGCTCACAAGCAGGGCCCACGGCTGCATGTAGGGCCTGGAGTCCTCGTTGGGGTGATTCAAAGTCTCAGTGGGGGCTGTGACCAGCACTTTTGCTCTGTCCCATGAGAGGTAAGGCCCAGGGCCCCTGGCACGAGGCATGCAAGGCCCAGCTCAGTGTGCAGACCTGCAAGGCCCAGGCTTGCAGCAATGGCCACTGAAGCCAGGCATGAGACAAGAAGCGTGCAGGGATTCAAGGGAGCTACGTTAGCAAAGCAGAGCTTGGCTCCAGCTGCAGCATCCATTCAGGCAAGGGGCTGCACGGAGCACAGATCCTGCAGAGGTGCAAGTGATGATGCAGGGGGCTGGTTGTGTGTGGGGGGGGGCGGTCCCAGCATTCCTAGCGGGACCCTGCAGGGAGTAAGAGGAAGCAGGAGCTATGGCTTACTCACTCCGCCCCCTCATTCCCCCAGCAGAGAGGGAGACGGCACACACGAGTGCTGTGAGCTTCCTCCACCCGCCCTGCCATCCATCTTTTGTATTGCGCTACCAAGCATGGCTTAAAACATCGCCTTGGTTTGCCTCCCCCCTCCTTGCATGCTGTAAAACCACTGCCAGGATCCCCCGCTGCACGGCTCTCCCCCACACACCAGCGTCTGCCTTCCTCCGCTGCAATGTCTCCTTTGGGCATCTAGTGGCTGAAGACACTCCCCCACCCCCACTTCTGTGTCTGATACACGGTGCGGCCTCCTCAGGGCCGAGGGGGCACGACTCTTGGTCACAGCTGGCAGACAGCCCTGGAGCAGGGAGGATGAAGGAAAGGGGTTGGTGTGCTAGTGGGACCCTGAGCCACTCTGCCCTTTACCCCAAGGCTACGTCTACACTGGCCCCTTTTCCGGAAGGGGCATGTTAATTTCAGCTATTGTAATAGGGAAATCTGCGGGGGATTTAAATATCCCCCGCGGCATTTAAATAAAAATGTCCGCCGCTTTTTTCCGGCTTTTAGAAAAGCCGAAAAAGAGCGTCTACACTGGCCCCGATCCTCCGGAAAAAAAGCCCTTTTCCGGAGGATCTTATTCCTACTTTGAAGGCGGACATTTTTATTTAAATGCCGCGGGGGATATTTAAATCCCCCGCGCATTTCCCTATTGCGATTTCAAAAATTACCATGCCCCTTCTGGAAAAGGGGCCAATGTAGACGTAGCCCAAGTGTGCTGTACCTCCACAACTGGCTAGCTCCAAGGACTCCCCCAGGCCTGGCTGCTGGGTTTGTATTGATTACTGGGCTTCTGCAAGCAAGGTACCAGCTCTTACCCGTGTTTTCCCACGCTCACTCTCCCTTGCTGGGTCAGCTGTCACTGCTCGTCTCCTCCCTATGTGCCTGGCAAGTCTTCCCGGGTGGGTGTGTGCTAGCACCTCCTATTCTGCCCTCTAGCCCACTTCACCCCCCTTTCTTTTCCCCAGGCACATCCCTGCCAGCCCATGGGGCAGGGCTTATATTCTGTTTGCCCACCACATCTCTGCCTGCCCATCTTACCCGCCCCCCCTGAGGTGCTACAGCAGCCAACACCTCTGCTGTGTCTCCACGCGCCTTCCCCTGCCCTCCTGCCTTGTGACTCAGCTTTTCACCAGTAGAAGCCGTGCCTGCAGTCACCAGGGTTTATTAGCACAGCCCACTCCACAAACCCTTTCCTGGGTGCACAAGGCCTCAGGCAGGGCCAGCCCCCACCTCCATCCCCTCCACGGACAGGGCCGTTCCCCACTTCCCCCCACAGCAGCACACAGGCTGGGCTGCATCTCAGGGACACCATCACCTGGCTCCATGGATACGTGACCAATGTGGCGTTGGCGGGGCTGGAAAACAGAGAAGCCCTATTCACACCCAGCCCCCATAACGAGAGTGTTATAACCCAGCCCCTCACCCACTGTTACAAAAACAACTGCTCTCCAAAGGCAGCAGCCGGTGGGTAAAGATTTTTAATATAATGCTATTTACAATGATTACACGTTAGTTACCAGGCTCAAGGCGCACCTCGGATGAATCCACATTACAAAAAGCAGCTCATGACTGGCTGGCCTTCATGGCTCTGCCACTGACTCACGGTGTGGTCTTTGCCAAGTCACTTTCTCCGCCGCTGAGGTAGGTAGGTCAGCCTGGCCCGTCTTGCAGATGTGCTGCGAGGATTCTTTACGGACCGGGCAGCGCTTTGGACCCATCTGGCACGCTAGTATGTAGTGTGTGGGCCCATCATGGAAGGTATTGCTGGAGGACACAGCCTGTAAATTGCTCCCTGCCCATGCCCAGCATCCTGAGCTACTGCCCACTGTGAGTCTTTACCCCAAGGGGGCTGGTCTCGGTCCCCGGCCTGCGGGGGGTGAACCCATGGCGGGACAGTGGCCCTTCTGATGGTGGTTCAGCCACTGAAAGTGTCGTGGCACCTGGAGCACTGGAAGGGCCTCTCCTGGGTGTGCGTTCACTGGTGCTGCTCCAGGGCCGCCTTCCAAGAGAAGCTCGCCAGGCACTGGAGGGAGGGATAGAGTCCCTCCCCCGCAGGGGGGGTCTGGGCAGCGGCGGCCAGGCAGGCAGCCCTGCCAGGCCCCCCGTGGACGCGCTGGTGCTTCTGGAGATGGGGTTTCTGGATGAAGCGCTTGCCGCACTGGGCGCAGTGGTAGGGCCGCTCGCCCGTGTGGATGCGGTAGTGCTTGTTGAGGTTGGACTTCTCGCTGAAGGTCTTCGCGCAGGCCGGGCACTGGAAGGGCCGCTCGCCCGTGTGCAGCCGCGCGTGCGCCACCAGGTGCCGCTTCTGCAGGAAGCGCTTGGGGCACTCGGGGCACTTGTACCGGCGCTCTCTGCCGTGCAGCCGCTGGTGCTGCGTGAGCTCCGGGTGGCTGCCCACGCTCTGCCCGCAGGCAAGACAAGGGAACGACCCGGCGCTCTCCCCCGCGTGGGTTCGCTGGTGTCTGAGGTTCCTCGGCTGCCGAAAGCTGCTCTGGCACTGGGCGCAGGCGTACGCCCCCTGGCCCGCACCGG